ACATGTGTGACTGCCAATGGGTTGTCAAACTCACCGAGAGACAAAACTGATTCTGCTGGAGTTAACTAAGTTACTAACCTGTCAGAAACACTGGTACTTTATCATCCATATTAATATTAGTTGTATTAGTAATAGCTGTGGATACTGGTCACTTCTTTAAACAGCTTTTTGAAATAGATGTGCGTGATTAGCTGTGTGTGTTATTCTGAATATGAAACACCATCAACACTTCTCTTCTGCTTATGAAGAATAATGCAGAACATAGAGAGACACGTAGATAACGAAAACACAATACGGAAGACTCGCAGGAGATGCGTATTGAAGTCGACGAACAAGTAAAGTGAACAAGTGAAGCGGAGTGGGCTGCTCAGGTGCTCGGCGACCTAGCGTCAGTGTCCGTAAGCGTGTTCGTATCTCAAATCTTTACTCATATCTCAAAGCAAAAATGTGCTTGAAGGTTTGCTCGTATCTCGAGGTTCCACTGTGTTTGGAATATTTGAGGAGAAGAAGGAACTTTAACTGGTTCTCTGCATTTAACCCATCCCTGGGGACAAGTTGACACTTTCAGAAGTTCCCAGGGAGGAAGGAAATGTATGGTTCATTCACAAAACCACATCTGTGGTGAAGTTCAAACCTGAGGCCTTTAGAAAACAAACCCAGTCCACTTACCACTCAGTCACATGCTTCCTTTCCTTTCCTTTCCTTTCCTTTCCTTTCCTTTCCTTTCCTTTCCTTTCCTTTCCTTTCCTTTCCTCCCTCCTGTTTCTGTTTATTTGGGGGTTACTCAAGTTCATGTTCTTATGTGTAGCTGGCCACTGTCCTTGCTTAAATCAAAACAAATTCTTTCCATATCTCCTCCTGTTTACCTCCTTGTCCTTGTGCTTCATATTCTTCAGGGCGGGACGGTCTCATTTCTGCCTCTTGATGGATGACTTTATAACAAACAAAACAATGCTGCACTTTCCTGTTCAAGGCAAGTGGAACATTATATTCTTGGTCAAGCTGCAGTGGCGCTGTCCGTCTGTCTCTCCGTGTCTGTCTCTCCATGTCTGTCTCTTTCCTTATCTCTCTTCAAATAAAAGAAACTTCCTCATCGTGTTATATTTTCTGACCTTGGACTGCAGTAAACAATGTATAAACATGTCTTGGACACTCGGTGCTCTCTCTCCTGCTCTGCAGCTCTGGTTTTTTTATTCCGTGATTACATAAGCTGGTTATTGAACATCTGGTAACATCTGTGTTTGTGAGTGTGTGAAGCTTGTTTACATGCATTTTTCAAAGTAAAAGCCAAAGTTAAAGACAGTAACTGTGACATTGTCATTAACTTTGGCAGGTTAAAGTGAGCTAAATTTTTTTTTAGGAATCATACCAATATTCTATCACTCTGGTCAGCGTTATATAATGTTGGACTAAATTTGTTGGCTTGAATTCAGAACATTTTTTAACATTTAATGATGTTTAGGGGTTCAGTTTTAATGACACAAAAGCTTTCTTAAAATGTTATGTTTAACTTTTATTGTAAACAATAAAGTTATCACAAGAAAAAAGGTACCGACTTTACAAATCTAGTGTGAGTTTTTAACTTTTGATAGGAGTTACTTCAGTGCAGTTTTGGTCTTTTTGTCTAATAATCTTCTTTTTGTTTGGAGCACCTCAGCAGTAACTTGGCAGCTGGTGGACTCAAGCCTTCTGGACCCAAGGCCACTTCCTTAGCCACTAAGCCACCACTGCCCCAGATAAAAGATGAACTCCTGTAAATGTGGGATTTATTTATTTTACGTTCAACTAAAGAGGAACAAAATGTGAATCCAAAACATCCCAGCAATGAATGTCTAGGAAAACTAAACTAACAGATTTGTACTATAACTCACCTCTAACACACTCACTGGAATATCCACTGTTATTTAAGGCAAGGGAAAGATTTCTGAATGACGTTGATACAACATGTGGTTGTATGTCTCGCGGCCAGCCCTCGTCATTCTCTGTTCCCAGAAAAGACAACATCCTAACTTCCTGTTGTGAAGCAGGCTGATCCAAACTATGGGACAATTTTTAAAACTATCCATGTCTGGCATTTAGCCAGACTGAAGTAAACAATAGACCTAAGTTATGAACCCGCCCTTCAAGACTTGACGACTGCATTTAAAACTGTGTCACAGGATCAAACCTTACTTTGGTTTAAACTGTCAGAAGTATTTTCAAAATGACACATTTGGTTCACGTAATTGAATGGTTGCTGACAAAAAAAGTTCACACATTTATCACAACGTACACTTTTGTCGTCTTGGAGGCTTCCCAGTCATGAGTTTGATAATTGCTTGTTTAGCCATCAAAGTTCCCACGACTTGTATGTCAATCATACATGCACACACACGCACACATACACACAGATATAAAATCACGTGTTCTTGCACTCTGTAGACCCTCCATAGTCCTTCAAGCCCAGTCCATATAAAAAAACTGAATGAGACACTTGTTAAGGACAGCTGATAAAGTCTAACCTAAAGTATCTTCACCTCCTCTCTTTCTCCACTTTTGTCTGTTTCTGTGTGTGTTCCACACAGTCGGAGACCTTGCAGATGCCCCCC